GGAGTTGGAGTGGTGAAAGTGTAGAATGAGAGGGGAGAAGGGGTTTATATAGAAGAGGGGGAGATAAGAAGAGGGGGAGTTTTGAAATTCAAAATGCTAAAAAAAGGGGGGGAAAAGGTGAAGGGATGGATGTGATTGGTTGACTTGGAGAAGATGACCAAGACCTAGGTGGACTCTACTGTGTATGTGTCCTAACAGATGAAGGAGTCATGTTCCGGAGGGAGTTTTCTCATCATTATCGCGAGGGGCACACTTGGACGGCAACTATAACGCGGGGACGCGGGCGTCTCGGGGTCGGCATTTTTGGAGGTCGGCCAGAGCGTCTACTCTCCTTCACTGACGATTACTCGCAGCTCGGAGAGTGGGGGACTGATGACGGATATATTAGGAATCGACCCGCACCAACCCGGGGGCGCGGACAAGAACGGGTCCCGGGGCGGCGCCGCGTACCCGCCCCGGACGGGGCCTCGCCACGTGGCCCCGCACGGGCCACGTCAGAGGCCGGGCCGGCCTCTCCAGGAGGCCGGGCCGACCTCCAAATGGGCCCGGCCCGAGCCCATGACGGGCTCGGCCTGGCCCCCCAGCACGGCCCGGTCGCGAGACCGGGCGCGGTCAACTCGGATCTAACCACCCCCCGCTTTAGGGGGTGGCGGTTAGGGGCGGGGGTTGTATAAAAACCCCCCACCTTGTCCAGTTAGGACACGATCTACTTTACGGACACACTTTGTACTGGAGAATCATTGTAATAGCTAATTCCACGGCATTTAATACAATTTACGGTCTCACGGCCTTCGATATATCGTTCGTATCATTTATTTATTATTTATATTCTCATTCGGGTTAGTTAAGTCGGACCCCCGGTTTAATTAATTTCATCAGTTAAGGTGCGGTAGAACCGAAGATACCAAAAGTATGACCCCTTTATTATCGCTCAAAATGCTTCTCAAAGTTTATTATTTGTCATATCCTCCATGTGCTAAAGACAAGTCAAATTGGTCATCTGTAATAAATGTAAGATTAAGGGACAGATTTGATGACCAATACAAACTTAATTCAACCTTTCAACAAGAAGTGATACCGACATGAGTTATTGGACATATAGAGTATGAGGAGGACCAAGAAAGCTTCTTGCATGAACCATATGAAATTGAAGAAGTTGATGGAAGTTCATTGTTTGAAGGAACTGATGAACACATCAATGACAAGAACGATATAGATTCAGAAAGTGAATTTGAAGGTTCTTTTGATGATACTATTAATGAAGAAGCTGACGAGTATAGCGAACAAAGTGAGAATAATGATCTAGATAATATAGAAGATGAAGATGATGACAACTAAAGTACCCTGCAAATGGAATGTAATGTAATAATTTATTTATTTTTTGCTTTAATTAACATACTCACTTTATTTGTTATATACGGAGTAATAATTATTGCTATATATTATATACTAATCCAACTTCGAAATCTTGTGCTTTGCAGGGGTCCTAATAAGAGTTCAAAGAAGATGAGCTCATTCAAATTAAGGCATTTTTGTATGTATTTGAATATATATTTTAATTTGCAGTGATGTATTGTAAACAAAAATAACTATGGTATGTTTAACATTTATGCAATGAAACAAACATATGTGTTATTTTAGTCACTTATTGAGGCATTTATATTATATATTATTAAATTTTGTTGGTGAAAAACCATGGGTACAGTATGTAGAAGCCATCATGAAATAGGTTGTGCTTTCAATAGTTTTCCGACGTAGCAGATCCTAGGAAACCAATTCTATGATAATTAAAAATAATAAGTTACCAACGTACGGTTGGTCAGAAACATATTCATTTAATTTTAAATTTTAAACTTTCCAACAAACCGTACGTCGAAAAATATATATTTTTAAATAAAAATGATTTTCATTACCAACGTTATATACGTCGGAAAACGTATCGAAAAAATGGGTCATTTCTTCCCGGAGCTTAACGACGCATAATACGACAAATATCAGGTACGTCAGACATTTCCGACAATTTTTGTCTCAGATTTCCTTTTTACGTCGGAAAAGACGTCGAAAATTGCAATTGCGATGCAAATCATATTATTTCCGACGTTTTCTTATTCGTTAGAAATTCGCAAAATTTTAGTAGTGTTGCAAGTCGAGAGTTGTCAGGTAGAACAACATCTTTTGCTGCCACCTCTTGAAGTTCGAGCCAGTGAACTTCTCCGGCTCTTTCCTTAAAACCTTATTTGCTACCTCCCAAAAGTGTTGGGAGCGTTGTAGCATATGTTTTCCAGGATAAAACGTACTACGGTTCAATGTTTGAGCACTCAAACAAGGTACCCAGCGAACTAGAGCAAATGATGAACAACTCATTGGCCAAGAAAGGAGTAGAAGCAACTAGGTTTTTCAGGATAAAACGTACTACGGTTGAATGTTTAAGCACTCAAACAAGGAACCTAGCGAACTAAAGCAAATCATGAACAACTCGTTGGCCAAGAAAGGAGTAGAAGCGGAGTAGAAGCAATTAATAGCATTAAAACTAATATTAAATCAGTGTACCCCTACACGAGTCGAGCCTTCTTAGACTCATTTTATGATTTGATTTGCACCCCTACGTGCAAGAGAAAGCCTCTACACTATACAATTCAATAAGCCTTAGAAAGACTCTTGTATAAATAGTGGTGCAAACCTACTTTCCAAACGAATATGAGACAAAAGCTACTTTAAAGCATTTTCCCTTCACTTTTCCAACTCAAATGGGTCTACTTTGATAATCAATATTTCATTCACTCATTATCCGTCAATATATCAATCTCTTCGTCTCACTACAAAGAACCCGAATTCACTTTGACCAGACTCAAATCAAAAGTGGACTCCACTAATAATTATACCACAAAATAGCCACTTAAAGTGTCATTTTATGTTATTTTTCCAACACCAAGAACATGAAGTCTTGGGGGCACTTATTCATAAAAGAAAAATAATAAACTCTAATATTAATCAAGAAAAATATAGATGATCAAGCAATTAAGCATTTGTTCTATCTATAAATGGATTGAAGATCAAAATCTTTTATAAAAATCAAATATAAATTAATAAATTCAAAATTTTAAAAATACTGAAAAATTTAAACGAAGAATATATAACATTATATATATCCTAATAATATATAAATTAATAAATTCAGAACGCAAACACGAATAATGCATCAGAATTAGCCTCCGCTGATTGCTTTAGGCCCGCTTCATATTCAGCTGCACGCCTTTCCCTCCAATACTTCTTGTTCCTAAAATAAATTCACATCACCATATTCACACAAATGAAATTCAATTAGAGTGCTTTAATAAAAAAATTTAAAAAAAAAATTTAAAAAAAAAAAAAAAACGAGAGGATAGGGTGTTTGGTAAATAGTTGTTAATTGATTGGGTTAATGAGTTTGACAAGTTGATAGCATTAACTGATTGTAGAAAGATGTTTGGTAAATAACTGTTAGTTGATTCCCTGATTATATACAAAATAACTTTTTCAAAAGGGTGATTGAAAAAGTAACTTTGAACAACTTTTTGAATTTTAACATTTTGAAGTAATAAGTTGTTACAATACACATATTAAGCTGTTACATGCATAGGTTTCTTTATTTGTATGCTTTGTTTTAGACTAAATATATATGTAATATTAATATTAAAATACACATCCTTTTAATCCAAACAAGCATCGATGATGGATCAATAAGTCTTCTTTTTTCCTGAGTACTAAAAAAGTCTAAATACATATTATTTTAATATGTGTGTTACGTTCATAATTAAGTGCGAACTGATCTTAACGTGTGAATTATTGAAGGATTGCACCACACCTATTACATAATTAAATCGTACCGGATACGATTGCACCGCAAAGATCCTCTAAACATGTCTGGAACCGTTACGGTGCAATCACGTACTAGTTGCGGTGTAATCCTTCAGTAGTTCGCAGGTTAAAGCTAGTTCGCCGCACCTGAATATGATTCTATATATATATATATATATATATATATATATATATAGGGGTAAGGATGAAAATAAAATATGAAACTTAATTACCTCTTCTTCACAAGCAAACCTAATTCCCTCATAGGCTCTGCATCGGCATAAACCCCATCCTGAAACGCGCAAAAACATCATTCTTTAATAGGAGAGTGAGCGATAACCTAACTCAATCACAAAATTTTATTTATAAGTGGAGGTTTCGTCTCAACTTAAGTATCACTTCAGAATTTCTTGTAGAATCATTTCAGGGTATTTTGTTATTAATATTTTGTAGACAAAATGTACAACATATGACGAAACATAGAATACAAAATGGTTGTGTATATTAAATTGAATACAAACTAACCTGTCTACAAGTTGGGCATTTTGAATACTGACTTGCGGCCTTGAAACCTTGGGCAATCGTCACAGAAGCCGCAGCACAAGCACACTCTTTGCAGAAAAAATGACCACATCCCAGTGCATGCGGGTGGAAAACAATATCCTATAAATATACACAATATCATGTACATATATATACACAAGATTAACCTAGTACACACACACATATATAAGAAGTTCTATAACACGATATATCAAAATGAAAGACTTTTCTTTTCTAGAAACTATTGAAAACATTCATTTCTAGAACATCACAAAGTGGTCAAAAATGAGTGGTTGTATGGACAATTTGAGTTGGCTTATTCATTGTGATCCTTTGTCGATTAGAATCACAATGTGCAGAGTTTATCTAGTGTAAACCCTTGAGTAGCCGTTACAAGTTTCCCTCATGGTTCAAAATGAGAGATTGTGAGTGAAAACAACCTTAACAAATGAAACATTCTAGTGAAGTTCAACCCATGCCCACTTTCAACTTTACCCCCAACTTTAAGGTTCCTTGATTTACGAAAAAACATGTAGTCATTACTCAAATGTGCTTTATGGGTGAAGACCGTCTTGTGACCTTAGTTGACAAAGAATCACAATGACGTAAACCAGCTTAAGTTACTTATCATAATTGATGAGCTCAAACTGTGAAGATCAATAGACAACTTTCATAGAGAGTAATATTTGGAACCTTGTGGTTACTAAGCAAATTATCCCATTTTAAAGGGAAAAATTAAAAAAGAAAATGTTGCAAAATGAATTACTCACCAGACAAATAGGGCATGTTATGCTATACTCGAGTTTCAACGATTTTGAAAGATTCAAAGTAATGGCAAGGTCTGCAGGATTGAGATCACAAGAGAAAGGAGTGAAGAGATCTTTGAACTTCCCACCATTGGATTCGTTCAAATTGATATAAAGAGCTCCCAATTCTTTCAACCATGGCGATTGCAGAATATTCAAGCTTTTAGCACCAAAGGTAGATTCACAGTTTCTGTTCACTGCACCCTTACAATTGTGAACCTGCACCAACAACATATCATAAATTCATTGAACGAGTTTCTTAAAATAGTATGTATCAAAATTCAAAATATTTTAACTTGTTTAGTTCATTTTTAAATTTTTAAAAAAGATTTACTTTCTCATTTTTCAATACAAATATAAATTATATTCAATTTTTTTTTCAATTTATAAAACATAAAATGATTTGAAATCCAATTATTTTATTAGGTAAAAATACAAATGTAAATAATAAGCGACAATAATATTAACCCAACGGCAAGTAGATCAGTCGTATGCACCGCGGTCAAAAACGGCGCCGTTTCTTTAAGTAAAGAAACGGTCCGCCGTTAGAGTTAACGGAGTCCGCTTGTTTGGTGTATTAAACACCAACTGACACTATAGTATATCTAAACCGACACTGCAGTTATATCAAAATGATACTGTAGTTATAGTGAAATGAAACTGCAATATATATAAAATGAAATTGAATAACATTTCACATATTTGAGTGTATATTATACAATGAAGCTGTAATTATATCAAAATGATCATGTAGTTGTGTTTTAATGAAACTATAGTGTATATAAAATAAAATTAAATAACATTTTCACATATTTGAGTCTATAAATATCGAATGAAACTATAGTTATATCGAAATGAAACTGTAGTTGTGTTGAACTGAAACTGCAGTATATACAAAATGACACTAAATAACAGAGTTACTTTTTGCAAAAGGGTGCGAAACGGCGAAAACAAACACTGTTTATTTTCATTTTAAAAAAAAAAGACGCGCGGTGCATAATCGATTATGCACCGCGGTGCATAATATAATTTGCCCAAGTAGATCAAAGTGAAGATAGGTAAATAGTGACAAAAAGTAAAGGAGTAAATGCCAGCTAAGGTCATCCGAGTTTGGTGGTTTCGCCACCTTTAGTCCTAAACTTTCAAATCGATCACTTACAGTCCTCCGAGTTTCGAATTTGATCTGTCGTAGTCCTTCCGTTAAAATATGTCGTCTGTGCTGTGAAAAGTAAGAGCAAAACGGACTTTTTATTTCAACCCTAGCCAAAACAATTCATTTCTCTCAAAAATTAAAATTATCCCTAATCTCCTCCCATCAAACTTCTTCTCCAATAATTTCCAATTATGTAAACACCGTTCTTTGACGAGCCAAAACCGCAATTTCAATCCGAATATTTCACAATTGTGGATTTGTTCCTGGCAAATAAAGCTCTACAGTTCTACATTTTTTTTAGGTAAATGATTTGTTTTGACTGGGGTTGAATAAAAAGACTGTTTTACCCTTACTTTTCACAGCGTAGACAGCAACAGTTAACTGAAGAACTACGACAGGTCGAATTCGGACACTCGGAGGACGACGGGTGATCAATTTGAAAGTTTAGGACTAAAGGTGGCAAGACCACCAAATTCGGAGGATCTTGGCTGGCATTTACTCAAAAGTAAAGTAATGTATCAGCATGATTTTTGTATTTAAATATTTTGAGAGATATTTACCATAAAAAATGCTATCTATTTTCAAATTTGGAAAGTAAATTATTTTGAATGGAATATATTTTTTTTCCATTTTGAAAGAAAGTAATGAATAAATATAGAAAATTGGATCGAAACAAGTTGATCACTCTTGAACTTTCTTAACGAATTATCATATTCAAACATGGAAGAAACATAAATTGAGATAACTCTCCAAATATGCAAATTATTATGTGGACTCGAGTCCAAAATTAAACAATTTACATCTTGAACATTCACAATTTACATACTAAATGTTTACAATTCAAATTTTGAACATTTAGTAGGTAAATTGTGTGTTTTGAATCCAGGTTCACCTTGCAAGATGGACCCAGGTATAACTGCTGCTCCAAATAGGGTCTAATATTAATATTTAATATGTGACTATCAAATATTGTATTGTCATGGTACTAAAAAGGTTTATTACTAACAAAAAAAAAAGAAAAATAGATCGAGAGATTATTAAAATGAATTTTTCAAGAAAGGCTAAGAATATTATAGTGTAGTCTAGTAACATATATAAGCGTTAAATGTAATATATTAATATGTAATTACCAAATACTGAATAGTATCTTAACATTTAAGGAAAACAAGTTTATTATCACCAAGAAATAATTACGACAATATATTATTCTATTAATTTAACATTTTAATAGGATGTATTGAAAGAGATAAAAAGTAAAAAGTTAAATAATGTATTTGGGGAATATAATGATATGTGACTCACTTGATTGTACTTGTGAACGATTTTGTGCATAATAGCGGCGTTGTCCGCCGCATATTGCATCAAGCGGCGGCACTCTTTGGCTATCTGTCGGCGGTCGTTGAAGAAATAGCGGCGCATGTTTGCGATCCATTTCTCCGCTCCCCGCCCCTCATGGAGTCTCACCACTTCTTTTACTCTGTACCTAAAACACCTCTCTACCTCATAACTTTCCCTTCTCACTTCAACACAAACTGAAATAAAAAAGTAACATTATTACACCCCAAATCGCACGCGACTTAACCACAAAATTCATTGGTTATCTGATTATAAGTAGATACACATTAACTATTTAACCGTTTAACCACATTCCTCAATGGTCATTACTGGAAATTATGAAATTTTCGACCACCTGAAAGTGATCTTAAATTAAGTTGATACCAAAAAGTGGTCGGAAATAGCAACAAAGTTTTTTCCGGATACCAAAAGTGATCGGAACAAGACTCTTGACTGATTTAAGATCACTTTCAGGTGGTCAAAAATTTCATAATTTTCAGTAATGGGTAAACCACAACACTACGTTTTGAATCGAGCGGGGTTGAACTCAGCCAACCCGGCCGACGCCCTCCCATCTCATCCATCATCATTGTATAAAAACAAAAAATCCCAATTTTTTTTTCCATCCAAAGGAATTCAAAATCATAAACTTATATGATTAGAAATTTGTTTTTGTCACGTTTTTTAGAGAGAAAACATGATGAAATAGAGAAAGGAATAAGAAAGTACAATGGCAAGGTTCGTTGGTTGTCTTAGCAACGTTGTTTGCCCAGCAATTCTTGAGAATCCCCTTAAGCCTTTTGTAATCCATAAGGTACAACGCTTTGCCTTTATCGTTATTATCTCCATGAGCGTTGTTGCTGTGAATGTACCTCTTGATAGTCTCTCCAAATCCCATCTTCACTTCTCAATCTACTTCAATTCCTGGAATAAGTTGTGAGAATGGGTTACAAATTAAAGTATCTATAGCCGAAAAGCGACTGGGTCATCTCATAAACTGTAAAATAAGAGATATACAAACCAACTTGATTGATGTGAGTTGTCATACACTGTCATCCTTTAAGAAAATCGCAAGTTCAAAACTCTCTTTCGTATAGAAAAAATCAATAAGACCATAACTAACTCCTTAATTAGGTTGGCCAGCTGGAAACAGAAATTAATCTAAATATGGAAAAAATAAGGAATATTGTAAGAGCATTAAACAAGTTGTATTATATTGTACCAAATTTATGGTGTAAATTTTAATTTTTTAATATATATAACAATCAGTATAAAACCTTTTGTATTAGCTGTATTTTTGGAATATAATCTTTCTAGTTACTATTAAATTATATGTATTGCCTTTATAACGTAAAGATGTAAATTTTGAAATAAATATAGTATAACCATTATATTTATCTCTTTGATTTGCGTTTATCAAAAGGATTAGTTTTACATGCGCATTGTATGATTGATATCTAATGTTTGTATTTAAATAAATAATTCAAAGTATATCAATGCAAGATTATATAGGAGAAGTTCGATCATTATAGTTGACATTAAAATTAATGTTTACGCTTTTTTTTTTAAAAAAAAAAATTATCTAAATACTTATTATAGTTAGTTGGTATGGTATTAAGTAGTAGATACTACTTTTGTTGGAATTACTCTAAGTTTTTCTTAATTCGCCTTTGGATATAGGTATGTCATTATCTTCGTCTTCATTGCTTGTCCGCTTCTTTCTTGTTGGTAGTGTCTCATGTGCAAATGAGTTACTGGTGCTAGTTTGCAAAAAAAAAAAAGAAAAAAAAAAGAGTCAAATAGGCCATCGAATTGCACACAATAATGCAATTAGGCCACTGAACCTAAAAAAACAACAATTAGGCCATTAAACTAACCAATTTCTTTCAATTAGTCTAATTTACAGGTTTTGCATGTTAGTAACAGGTCACCTAAAAAATTTAAAATATTTTTTAGAAATAATAAATTAAAATATATTTAAAAAAAAACGTTTCTTCATCTCCGGCCATGGAGATGAAGAAACGTTTTTTTAAATATATTTTAATTTATTATTTTTAAATAATAATTTTTTTAAAAACTATTTTAAATTTTTTGGGTGACTGTTACTAACTTGCAAAACTTGTAAATTAGAGTAATTGAAAGAAATTGGTTAGTTTAGTGGTCTTTTTTTTTTGAAAATTTTCTGCGGTGCTTCATTAGAAAAATGCTGAAATAATGTCTGGTGGGTGAGTATCCCAGTACATAGTATCAGGTTGCTGATAAGCCGTAGTGGCTAAAGCATGAGCTAAATAATTGTCCGATCTAGAAATATAATTAAAAGAACATGAGTGAAAATAAACGGCAATTTGCCTGCAGCTATCAATGGCAAAAATAAACGGCAATTTGCCTGCAGCTATCAATGGCATAGCCAACGAAACGCAGTGGTTGATGATGTAAGGTAGCGTTGTAGTGTCAAACAATCCGTGTAGATCTCAATATTCTGTTCACCTCGATCCTTTAGCCATGATAAAACTTCCTTACACGCCAAAGCCTCAGCCATAAGTGGTGACGTACAGGCCGGTAGCGGCTCGGTTAGTGCCGAGATATAGGCTCCATCTCCATCTAATAAAACGGCCCCTACAGTTGCATTCCCTGTCTCGTGTAGATATCCCGCATCGACCCTGCATCTTCTCACTGGCGGCACAGAGGATCCGGCAGCGTCGGCAGCACCGCGGCCGGCGGTGGGACTCGCCTGGGCAGCGTGGCGGTTTTCTGTCGGCAGCGTAGCAGTGGCAGTGGCAGCCACGGCTAGGCGGGACTGAGTCCATGCGGTCTTGGCTGCCGCTGCGGCTCTGAGTAGGGACCCCGGGCGTGGTAAAAACGCCTCCCAAACTGCACCATTTCGAGCTTTCCAAATATTGTATAGAATTGATGCTGCATATAACATTCCATCAGAATCTAAAATATTTAGAAGTTTCCCAAACCAAACATGAAAAATATCGGTGACAATATTGGGGATTGTAAGGTTGGATTGATCCCAAATGTTTCTTGCAAAATCACACAAGACTAATGCATGCATTGTATTCTCATGTGATATCCCACACATAGCACAATATGGGTTCACCTCCACCCTCTTTAAAAGCAAGTTCGTAGTTGTAGGCAAAATATCACAAATAGCTCTCCAGAGGAACATTTTCCACTTTGGTGGAATTTTTAGTCTCCATAAAGCTAACCAATTAGTAAAGGGGCCTTGATTATTCTCATAATCTCCCACCAATCGTCTGTACCCGCTTTTCACAGAATATAATCCTCTCGGGTCCCCGTACCAATACCATGCATCATTATAATCCCGGGATACAGGTACTCTCATAATTCTCTCGACATCCGTAGGTTGAAATAAATCTGATAAAATTTCATTATCCCATGTACCAGTTTGTTGATCTATTAGCCCCACTACTCTGGCCTCTCGTAACTGTATAGGCATCTCTGTTTGTATCATAGGGTCCTGGTCATCCAGTAACCATGGATGGGTCCATATAGATGTAGTTTCCCCATTCCCAATTCTTCGTCTGACCCCACTACAAATTATGCTCTTTGATTATACTCCGCCAACAAAAACTAGGATTATTTCCTACCTGCGCATCAAAGAAAGTATCCCTGGGAAAATATCGGCTTTTGTAAACACGAGCTACTAAGGAATCAGGCTTAGTGAGCATTCGCCATGCCTGTTTCCCCAACATAGCTAGATTAAATGCACGTAGGTCCTTAAAACCCAATCCACCATACTTCTTAGGAACACATAGCTTGTCCCAAGCCTTCCAGTGAACTCGGTTGTCCGTCCCAGAACCCCACCAATATCTATTCATCGTTCTTTCTATAGCCGTGCATACTGATATAGGTAGCAAAAAAACACTCATTGAGAAGGTAGGCATAGATTGTGCCACACTTTTCAACAGTATTTCTTTCCCTGCCTGAGACAATAGCCTTTTATTCCACGACCCAATTCTTTGGCGTATTTTATCCTCAATATATGCAAAAGCTGCCTTTTTATTCCTACCCACAAACGGAGGTAGACCCAAATACTTGCCAAAGTTTGGTGCCTGCTCCACCCCCAAAACTTGGGCCACACTTTCCCTATCCACATTACTCGTATTCCTGCTATAACAAATACTCGACTTGTGGTAGTTAACCACCTGTCCCGATAGATCCTCATTGGTCTAATTGTTTTTTTTTTTTAGATTCAGTGGCCTAATTGCATTATTGTGTGCAGTTCGATGGTCTATTTGACCCTTATTCCAAAAAAAAAAAAAAAAAAAAAAAACATATTTGAATCTAAAATAGGTCAACAATATTGTTGTTATTTTTGGGTGATTGTTGTTTCAGTCCCATAATTATATTGGATTTAAAGGTTCTGGTTTTGTTGTATGAATATATTAACATGAATAGTTTCAAAAAAATGTGTATGCATTACTTGCACAAATTGAATGCTGAAAATATATATATCAAAAGAAGTAATAGAGAAGGGACAAAAATCATATTATCAACGTATCTCTTTCACTTATATTCAAGAGAGAGCTAAGCTAAAAGGAGCCAATGATGCACACAACATTCACTTTGATTGGCCCAACCAAAATGAACACTTGGAAGGCTCGACAAATTCCCTAACGCTCAAAGAATCAATCCTGAAATCTGGTTTGTATGAAGTTGCAATTGTACTAAACTTTTTACATTTGTTAGAATAGAGGGGATTGAGCAAGAAACATTGTTGTTACAAAGCAAGAACCACCACTTATCTTGATAAAATCGGTTGAAGAGATCAATGTCTTAGGAATCACAAATCTTGGTTGGTGAGGCTCAACCAATTCCTGCCACTCGCTCTACTCCACACGGTTGATGAAGTCACATCAAATTAGATGCTGGCCAATTAGATGCGGTTGGTGACTTCAGCATCAAAGAATCAATTTCAAGCTTGAATTAGTTTGACAATGAGATCAATTCTACTGTAGTAAGTGTTCATGTTCTATATAAGGTATGTTAGCTCTATTTCTCTATGGCAATCTGTATGTGGATTAAAGCAAGTTTTATGCAACAAAAGTCAACAAAATCATAAATCATGAAAATTTTCTTAGTATCATGTAGTTCTTTAACTCTCATATGAGGATTTGTTATGAATATTTCAGGTGGTGTGAGGGCTTCACTACTACAGAAAACGGACTTAACGTCTACATTATAACGTCGATTTTTTGAAAATTCGACGTTAAATATTTAAAATTATTTTTTATTTTTTTAAAAAATACATATGACGTCGGTTATTTGGTATGGCCGATGCCGTATATTAAATAAAAAATAAATACAAGATACGACGTCGGCGTTATACGTCGCCGACGCCGTATCTCAAATAAAAAATATATATATATATATGGTATACGGCGTCGGCGACGTATATCGCCGACGCCGTATATCGCCGACGCCGTATACTCGAATTTTAAAAAAAATAAAAATAAATAGTAGATACGGCGTCGGACGTATCTCTAATAATTTTTTAAAAAAAAATGGTATACGACGTCGGCGACGTATAACGCCGACGCCGTATACTCAAATTAAAAAAAAAAATAATAAATAGGAGATACGGCGTCGGAGTTAATTCTCCGACGCCGTATCGAATAATTTAAAAAAAAAAAATTAAAATGGTATACGGCGTCAGCGACGTATATCGCCGACGCCGTATACTCGAATTTAAAAAAAAAAAATAAAATAAATAGTAGATATGGCGTCGGAGAATTAATCTCCGACACCGTATCTCCAATAATTAAAAAAAAATATTAAAATGGTATACGGCGTCGGCGACGTATAACGCCGACGCCGTATACTCAAATTTAAAAAAAATAATAATAATAAATATAATTATACTCAGATCGG